TGCACAATAGAAGGTGATTTGACGGAGATGAGTCGTCTTGACAGGACCTCATTGATTACATGCCAAAGTGGTTGAAGCCGATTGTGTTCCTGTTTCACTGAGATCAGTGCAGGAATGAATGGACTTGTGAGGCACAAACTGCTGGCTGTTTTATCAGTTTTCTTTTCAGTTAAGTTGTTGAAACCAAGAGTGATTTTGAATACTCAAGACAATTTTTTTTTAAACAGTGAAACATGCAGGATAGATTGATTAGAACTGACCTTAAATGCAGGTTATTATGGATAGCAGAAATAACAAAGGAAGGAAAACTGAGATTAAGAAACATTTTTAACAGAAATAAATTAGAACAGTAATTAATTCCAAAACATCATAACTAACTAACTAAACTATTATAACTCATCTGTAATGTCACCAAGAAACAGCAGCTCTCAGTCATAAATGACATTCCAGTCGATGCTTCTCTGAATTACCGAAGATCCAAATGCGTATATGTACATTAAGTCTTCTTACAAATCACAAACAGAACACACATTGAAGACATATGGAAAATATTGTCCGAACCTCTTGTACACTGGGAACGTTTATAGAAAGGAAGGCTGTAAGGTGAACAGCAACCACTCAAAGGAGACAAGGGAATGTGACGTTCCAGAGAGGCAGTTCCTGAAGCATTAACTTCCTCCTAAAAACAAGATCCAAGCTATCAGCACATACCAACTGAAACCAGGTAGCCGTCTGGCCGAGAAGGCTCCATTCATGTGAAAACTGGAAAGTTCCTCACAATGTGCAGAGGGAGTCTGAGGATGAGGAAGTGCCGGGAGCTGCCATAACTGGGCAGTAGATTTGGAAGAAAGTTCATTATGAAGAATGACCGCGTACAGGAGGACAACTGATAGGACCCATCATCCAAAGGTCATCCCCAGTTCATACCAGTCCATTCAACTGTCCACCCAAACCTGAGACCTGTCACATTAATCTGGTCATTTATTCTTGACCAGTTAGCAACAAACTCAGTTAGCAACAAACCAGTTAGCTAGAACTCTTTGTGGACCCGATTTTAGAGCTGACTGTGTGCCTGGTTTTGTCCTCATAATCAGAAGACTGAAAATGTTATTTATGCTCATTGTGAAGAAACAGTCCAGGGATCTCTGCTGTTTGTTCTGTGTGCAGCCCAAGTACAAATAAACTGTGTTGATATTCTGGTAAGAATTGATTTATGCTTTATTTGTTGTGGTTTTCTGCGTTGACGCTACCATATTGCATCCATATCTCTGGATGTGGTATTATCATTAGGATCAGCTAATGAAAGCTATAAATGGGTGAAGGGGTAAACTGTGTGACCCACATATGGAGGCCTTGGTCCTGGAAGCAGCCGTCACTGGTTCAACCTTTGCCACATGTTTTTCCTCTGACTGCCTTCCTGTCTGACCACTGTCATATGAAGCAAAAACAAACCCTTCAAAACAGGCAATGAGTATGAGTTGGTACCGCTGATTATTATTTTTCTTATTTGTTTGTTTTAAATATCCAAAATACTCCCAAACTGTTGACATAGCTTTTCCTCTTTTATCCACCAGCTCCTCCCTGAGTTCCCAGATTCAAGAACTTATTTATTAAAGACATATGTATGGATTAAAAGGTCCATCCTCCTACTGAACATTTTCAAGTCATCTCTTCCTCCAGACAACTTTGTTCATGTGGGTCAGACGGTCAACAGAATCGAGACACCAGGTGATTCCAGGAACTTTGGAGATCCAGTCACATCCATTTTCATTCCTATTTATATCTGCTTCTGTTTGAATTTGTTTTGTGTATTTCTTATTTTGTTTGTTGAAGCACTTTGTCATTTTTATCTTGAAAGGTGCTATATGAATAAAGGTTTACTAACAGAATGAAGGGCTTTCCATCACAGCCAGATGACCCTCAAGTAAAATCGCTGGTCTGGGAAATTAAGAAGATCATACACAATCAACTCTGAAAAGCATGTGTAATACATTTCATGGCAATCTGTCCAACCTCAGCCGCTTCTGATTGACTAAATGGAGTCTGTTGTTCTCTGGTTGCAGCTTAGGCAGCAGGTTTGGTCAGAGCGCTTGTTGGCATGATGCCACTTATTGTGAAGCAAAAGGAAAAATAAATGTATTTTTTAAAAGTTCACGCAAGCTAATTTCCTTCGTCTTAACTTTTCCATCAAAGGTCTGACTCTGCGTTATCTCCAGGGCGCCATATTTAATAACCAACAATGAAGCAGATAATGTCTGAGGTATAATTGTTCGCCAGGAGAGGTAGAACCATGCAGTGCCATTGTCTGTCTGCCTTTTGTAGTTAGTTAAAAGGTGGATAAATAAGATGCAATTTAGAGACTTTTAAGATGGGATTTTTTTTCCCGTTGCCTTAATCACTGTGAAATTACCTCTGGGTGAGGGCTGTCATTAAAACAGAAGAGGCACTTGCTTCTTGGATGCTAGAGGCGAGCATGAAGCGCTAATAGCAAAGTGCCTCAGTGGCGTTGAGGGTTTTAGCGGTCTGTGTGTCACCCTGCTGCGCCCGCCTGCCTGCCTTCGCCTCCCGCTCACACAAGATGTCTTATGATGGCCTATTTGCAGCTGTTTACTGTGATAATCACACACAGACGTAAAGCCAGGTAACCAGACTTTAAATGTATTGTTCTGATAGTCTTACAGCACACACATACACACACACACACACACACACATCATGACCCACTTAGACAAGTTTCTTCTCTGACACTTTTGAGTTGCTGCTAAGTTAGGTATTATCCCCACCGCCATCTTCTGTTCCTCGTCTTCCTCCTGACGCTGAAGGCGATGCCGTGCACAGGCAGCCATGAGTGCTGTGGCTCCCCATCTCGGGGGGCCAGTGTTCGGCCCCGGGTGTGCGTCCCTAAGGGCGCCTCGTGGCCCGAGGCTAGAAGACCCTGAAGTGACATGGCCAACAACCTCCAGATGTTAGCATGCATTAAGGCCTGACAGCTCGTCATGTCGCCGCCTACACTACCACACAGTTCCATCACCTCCCATCTGCTGGCCGACACTTCCTGAGGGAAGAGGAGGAGGCAGGGAGAGAGAGAGCACCGGCCGTCAACCATCATAAACACTGACTGATAGGTCACCATGCCCAGGGTTTACCATACAGCTGCTCACATCAACATGTTTATATCCTCATTTGATTTGAGAGACAAGGAGATGCATCTGATTGGTCCCTCATTGCTCCTCCAACAGGAACAAGGACCTCGACTTGAAGCCAATGGCCAAGAAGTGTGCAGTAGCCACTTAGTACTCTACTTATAGATGCAGTACGTAACTTTTACAAGAAAAAGTTCTTTACATATTTGTTCAAACTGTCACCAGATTATCTGTCTCAATATGATATGAGACAGATAATCTGTTCAGTTTGTGCTTTAGGCTAAATGAACCAATCATAGCACCATTGGTGATTCTTATTAAGTGGCACTTCATATCACTTTGTACTGCTTGGGTTATAAGATAAATCAGATCACAGAGACTTGCTAGATATCCAATAGTATGATTTGGTTTTGAGATTCAGTTTTTTCAAAGTTTTTTTTTTCTAGCAGTGACCTTTCTATTTGCAAAAATACGTCTGTCATCTGAAACTGATGGAACGTCCTCCACACGTCATGGTTTCATAAATACTGGCAAATTTAGACCAACTGAAAATTAGTAACAGACATAATAGTTATCACTTATGTAATTTATTACATGTATCAAAATGTCTACTTCTACATGCATTCATAAAATATGTGTAACTGAGCGCAGACTGACATTTTCATCAAGACGTTTTGACGACAGAAATAATAAATACAATATAAACACAGTTATTCCACTTCTTGAGTTTCCGCTAAAATCTGTTTGTGCTCTATTATATTTAATAAAATATAGTTCAAATTTAGGCTCAGATTTGAATTTTGTTTGTTTCTGATAGAAAATGGCACAGGCATATCTGGAAATATAAAACTACATGCAGGAGGTGCCGTTTGTGAGAAAAACTATTCTTGTTTACATTTGATCACAATTTAAACAATAAATTACTTAAAAGAAATTATATGCTTCTCAATAACAGCCTTCCTTGATATTTCATCAATCAAAATGCTGGCAAACTCGTTGCCACTGCTATTATTAACCTATTCATCTTTAGCAAAGAACTCCATGTCTTCAGCAGGTCATAAAAACATGTGCCATAAAAAAACACTCTATCAGATTTCAATAAGATCAATCCTGATGGGGCAATTTAATGTATTTTTTAACACTTCCAGTAAGAAGAAACATTTTGGTCAAATTAAATAATTATTTTAAGTTTTTCACTTTTGCTTTAAGTTACAGCTGAAGGACACGAAGTTTGGATGTTCTACTTGTGTATGCGTATGTCTATATATCCTAACATTCCCAAAATATACATGTTGTCATTGAATGGATGGTACTATTTAACATCTCAGACTTTGGTTTTTTGAAGTGATTGAAAATGAGTGGATGACAGCAGATTGTGAGGAGTTTGAGACGATATGGTGATGTTTGCCTCCCTCTCCTGGTGAGACAGGGTTACATCAAGCAGAGTTATTCTTGTTAGTGTAGATCAGGGGTGGGCACTCCTGGTCCTCGAGGGCCGGTCTCCTGCAACTTTTAGATGTATCTCTACTTCAACACACCTGAGTCAAATGATGAGGTTATTAGCAAGGCTCTGGAGAACTTGATTGCATTTAGGAGGTGATTCAGCTATTGGATTCAGGTGTGTTGGACCAGGGAGACAACCAAGAGTTGCAGGACACCGGCCCTCGAGGACCAGGAGTGCCCACCCCTGGTGTAGATTCTACACTGCAGAAGATACTAACTTGCCTCAGGTCTGCTATCAGGAAGAAGCTGGAGGGCAATGAGCAGCCACATGCAAGGTTGAAAAAATATTTCAGCTTTAAAGAACATCTTCCTACAATGACAATGAATGGCAGAGAGAAAAGAAAACAAGATGACTTGAGGAAAAAAAAGAACTTTATTCTTATCATTCTGGAATAAATACTTTTGTTATATTTGATTATTTCTATCAGATAGAAAACACAGTAGCTTTAAAATAAAAACAAGATCTAGTTAATTCATTATATTTATTTGTCATTTAAACACACTTCAATAAATAGCTTTGCTTCTTCTTTTGTTCTTTAATTATACAAAAAAACAAACTGTGAGAACAGCGGAGGGAACAACACCGGGTTAAAGGTCAGCAGGGTAGACACGGGTCGACACAAACACCTGCAGAGGCCACGGCGACACACGGACTAAAAACCGTTACAGATTTCAAAAATGTTCACACACGTTAGTCCACAGCACGATGGCAGCTACACACCACGTTCCAGTGAGTCTATTAGAGCATGAGTCTGCACAGAGATGTGTCGGCGTACAGCACACTGAAGAACACAACCAGCGAGTCCATAAGACACAGGGCAAACAGAGAGGCTGCGGCACCCCGACCTCATCCTCCCAACACCCCGACCTCATCCTCCCAACATAGATGCATTTTCTGGTTTACTCAGCTTGATGTGCTTCCCATCTGTGTGTGTGTGTGTGTGTGTGTGTGTGTGTGTGTGTGTGTGTGTGTGTGTGTGTGTGTGTGTGTGTGTGTGTGTGTGTGTGTGTGTGTGTGTGTGTGTGTGTGTGTGCCTGTGTGTGCATGTTTGCTGTGAGATTAAAGTTGAACAGATTTGCAATTCCCAACACAATAACAAGGTCAATAGCCATCAACATGATTAACATCATCAATAAGTCTCATTTATGTGAGGTAACTTAGTTGACATGCAATGATCAAACCTCACTCAAAGAAGCCCAATAATGACCCAATAAAAAGAGACAGGTTCATATCTAATCTAACATTTTTGGTAGAGACCAAGTACAGTTTTGTTTTAATTAATAAATGCGTTTTTGTGACAAGACATTTTTAACAACAGTACCGAGACTGGACTCCCCCTTTACCCTGAATGACAAATCTACAGTTTCCTAACTGCATATTAGTGTATTATTGAATCTGGACACTGCCTTTCGCGTGCCTGATCATAAATATTGGATTTGCAATTAAAATTTTGGAGTTGAATAAAAGTCAGATGTGGAAATCCTGTGAGTTCATTCTTGGGTTACTTTTGTATTCAATTTCTACAGGTTAGATTATGCAATATTACAGCATCTCTATCTAGGCTAATGACATGCAGCTTCATATTTTGTATTATTGCAGAATCATCATTTGCAGTGACTCAGTATTTGGCTTCATGAAACTAAAGAGTTAGAAATTTCTCTAGTTTCATGCAGAAATGCAGAAATCGACAATTTTGGAGTTAATAGAGAAAGATTTGAAATGCTAAGAATGATCTAAGCTGATCCTTAATTCTGGAATAAACTTCATAAAAAAAACCGAAGACTGTGATGCTTATTGTTTATGCGTCATTCATTTATTAATTTATTGAAGGTTTCTATTCCTTAATTGTGTAAATGTATTTCTTTTCATGTATTTCCTTGCTTCTGTCTTTTGTGCTGATTGGTATATAAGTCGTGCTTTAGAGAACACAGACATCTCTTATTTTACCAGTAGAGAGGAATGTGCATCATTAATGCAAACACAACAATCTCACCGATAGGAAGCTCACCAGGGTGAAAAAAACCTCACTGATCTCACAGTTTCACGTCAATCTGCTGCTTTCATACGGATTAGCAGCGAGGCGCCTCGGGGGTTGGGGTGCGTCAGTCAGTTACAGGTGAAACACAGAAATATATTCAGTCACTGAGGCAGAAAAGCACTGCACTCAGCTGCAGACCAGGGTTTATTTTTTTAATCAAAAATACTGCAGAGAACGTGTGTCCAACCAAAAAATGTGCGACTGTTTGTTAGTTTGTGTGAGAGTCCGAGAGCTGGAGAGACGATGCTTTTTCTAGCATGAAAACAACTGAACTGCAGCTGTGATGAAATATGCTCTGATTCTCCTGGGTTGCACATTTTTACACCAAGAGTTTTGGGAATTTAAACCCAACCATGTGATTGGTAGTCCACTGTCCACTGTGTGAGTGAATTTATGGTCAAAGTAGCTAAAGATGTGTTCGGTCTGCCTTTCATCCAGCAGCCACACGAAAAGTTAAGCTAACCAACGTTTGAAAACCATTAAACTACAGCTTCACCAAGTACTGTGTTGGCAACCAGAACTAGATGATTTTAAACTGTATTCATGCTGAACGATGGCTGGTCATTCTGAACTGATCCAACAGAGCAGGACATCGACTGGTCATTTGGTAAAGGAGCTCTCTGCCACTGTGGCAACTCAGTCTTGGCACGATGAAAAGGGAAATGGCATCACACCCCGGAAACAGACATTGTGTTGCATGCACTATGGCAGCTCTGAGCGTCCACTCCTGGTGAAGTGTAACCATTCTGGCTGCTCAGGATCAGAGTTGTAGAAATTTACCATTTTTTACGAAGGGCGTTTAATTTGATGATGGAGATGGGAGATGTTTCACATTAGGCACACCTTGTTGCTAATGCTGCACAGCTACTGGTCACTGAGGCACTTCAGTGTGTCGGTGACAACATGACATCCCTCCACTGAACAACTGCCGTTGGCTGACCAAAGTATATCCTTCAGTTGCTCCAAAACCCACAAAATTTGTAATACAACAAAGAAAAAACATAAAGCAAAGTTATTAGAATAACCAAATGATTTCTATATGCGTTTTTTCTTTTTGATATGAGTTCTGATGTGCCGCAGAACCAGGGGGTGTTCTATCACTACTTCCACCACCGTCTCTCCAACACATCACAGGTCTGACTGGTAGCTTCCAAGTCCAGTATGAACTTCGGCATGGCTTTTTTGGGCGTCCATATTGGTGAACTGACACTGAGCTTCCATCAGCAGATAACAGACAGGCTGAACAATTTAAGACTTGGTTGCTTGGTTTGGAACCGTCCATGTTCTCAAGAGAAAAGAGACTATTAGCTGTTTTTAATGCTAATAGCAAAATGCAACTGTAAAAACTTAAAAAGAAGTATTCTCTCACATCAGGTAAAATTAGCATCAGTAGGTTGAAATTGAATGAAAAACACTCCAGAAATCATTGATATCAGTGTTTTTGGATTCCATTCATTTTTCAGTAGCTGTCACTACTGAAACACTGAGCTCTCTCTCTCTCATTTGTCACACTTCATTTTGCTTCTCCTCTCTCTAAACTGAAAAATGACTGAAAATGAGCTCAACTTTAACTGGAAATTTTCTAATTACTGTCCCCCCAGCAGCCACCAGTCTTCCCTCGCTGCCCCTGAGGCGAAGGTGAACCGCCATCGTTTTCTCGGTCTCCACCAGCGGGCGCCCCCAGAACAACATGGTAGGTTAACATTGCAGAGGAACAGCTCTGTGTGAGCTCCAGAAGCCTCCCGTCCTCCTGGAAAGCCGCCTCGCCTCGCCGCTGCAGGTTCAGTGGAGGTCTCCCAAACATTTCTCTGCTTCGCTGAGTCGGAGAGCAAATAAACCCGGCAGCGGCTGGCAGCCGGAAATCACGGCGGACGCGAGCGCAGCTGCACGAGTGCACGACCCCAGGCCTCCAGTGAGTCAGGATGGTATTAATAGACCAGAACCAGCAGGTGCTGTCACTCTGTCTACTGCTCACAGCCAATTATGAAGCCCTGCAGGTCCACCTGCAGACTAACACAACCCAGCAGAAGTTGATCTGCAGTGAGTTCCATCGCCTTCTTCCTGTTATCACCTTTGCTCTGCCTCCATTGTGTGCTTTCTGCTTTCATCCTCCTCGCAGTCTTGGCACGAATTACAGGAGGCGATTATGTAAAAGCGCATGCGCGTTCAGTGCCATCCCCCTGTACCGCGCATAGGGTAAAGAGCCTGCAGTGTCAAATGGATCCCGTCTCTTACGATCGCGGGAGGGTAAAAAAGCTTCCTAAACACAGACAGACACACACACATTATCAGGTCAGGGTCATGTGGTGGCTGTGAGTCAGTACATCAGCTCAGTCTCTGCTGCCTCAGCCTCAGGCAGCGAGGCGATGGAGAGAGCGGCGTTTCAGCCCGGGGGTTAAAAACAATGCTTTGAAATGCCACCAACCCAGCATCTTCCACAGTAAATCTGTTCAGTTCCACTGTTGTGCAATTACTTACACAACAGTAATTTAATTATATATATATTTTTTATATCATTACATTCCCCCTAAAGCTATTCATTTAACTTTTACAAAGTGTTTTTCTTCCATATTCATTAAAACTGTCACCATGTCATGACTTCATGTTATGAGACAGATAATCTGTGACAAAAATTGAACTCCATGTCCTCAGAGAGCTACTGTTGTGGTCTGCAAAAATGCCCCGATTTTTTTCACATTGTCTGTCTCAGATCATAGTGATAGCTTCCACAAATAATTTTAAAAAAAAACATTCCTTTCTAAAAGTTACATACCGCAGCTTTATTTATGAAATATGTGACTTTTATAAAAGAACGTCGCTGGATGTTTGTATGTTTGTGAAGGCAGAGAAAAGCCTAATGAAAACAATTCTTTGTGTACACTTAACATGTTCTGTTATACTTGTGCTAAAGAAACTTCAAAAAGTGTCCATCTGCACCACCTCCATATGCTGCAAGGCCAGGTTTGTACTGTTACTGAACTGAGATTGTGGAACGTCACATCATTTATTCCTAATACTTTGGACACGTCTTCCTCTTGCTGCTTTCTGTGCAACTCTCTATTTTTGGCATGTGACGATCATTTGGTCCACAGAGACATGTTAGAGTGAGGTTCAGTTTGGTTCTGAGTCGAGTTTGGTTAAAGCACATCAATGTAAGAGTAGAAAAGTTACCGCATTAAAAAGACGCACACATGATTCACGTTGGCTCAAAGGTCCAGAAACACGGCCGGAGGTAACACACCATCCACACACACACACACACACACACACACACACACACACACACACACACACACACACACACACACACACACACACACACACTGCAGCAGACATGCAGTTCTGTGATTCTGGCTAACCGCGAAATAATTTCATGAGGAAGTGGACTGATCCACCAACAGCCCAGATGATGCCTTCAGAGCCCGTTAGTAAATTTAAGTTATTCTCCAAACCTTGTTGGTGATTCCTGATATGTTACATAATGTTTAGGAGAATATATAAATATATATATAGTACCTTGCAAATGTATGCATTTTTGACCAGTACTCTAATACCCCACACTGTAAATGACTCTAAACACACCACCTACATGATAACATGGCCTTATGGATTGGATGTTTTCTTCTAGTGGGACGTCCGATTTGACTGAGCTTCATAAATTTTGCAAAGATAGAGAATAATTTTAGTCTAGACGCCTAAAGCTGGTGGAGACACACTGCTGAATACTTTATGATGTAGCCGAAGGTTCAACATTGACCTGAACACCAACACACACTTTAGATCTGAAACGTTGAATAACTATGAAATACTCTGTGTTGTTCTGTCCGGTGTAAACCCAATAGAATGCATCCGAGTGGCTGGAATGTGGCAAAACAGGAACATGAATACTTTTGCAAGGCACTGTGAACCTGAAAGCTTCGCCTTCATTTCAGTGAAATCCTAACAGAACAGAGAGGGTTAGTTATGTCGCTAACGGCTAATGCTGATGTCAGTAACCGGGTTCTGTTCTCAGTGTTAAGCATCAACTGCATCAAAAACAGAAACCTGTGAGTGAAGGAGTTAAGCAGTGAAAGTCTTCAGTCTGTTCTCACATTGACAACACAATGAGGACACACAGGTAGATCTGGACAGCTGAGGCCGCTCTACATTCATCTCCAACACCCTGACCTGATCACCGCTCCACCTCTGTAAGTGCCCCCTGCTGGCCGGCCAGTCACCACCACAGTAAGGCTTCAGTCTACCACACGGCTTAAAGGGATACTCCGCTAGAAAGCATAAACCCCACCCCACCCCGGGTCCTTCACGAGTTTCTTTTCATCGACATGTTTAAATACAGGTGTCAGACACGTCCGTTGCCGTGGGTGCTACTCCGTCGCCCCGACGCCGGGTGGGAGGAGTAGTGCAGCTCGGCGGTGGAGAAGCTGTTGGAGGAGTTGGAGGAGGAGGAGGTGAGTCCGCAGGCTTCGCAGGCCAGAGCCAGCTGCCGCAGGGCGTCCAGGGAGTCCATCTTAGCTCCACGCAGCAGGTCGCTCTGACCCTGAAACAAAGAGACATAACTCAACTCTGGTTGGAGAAAAATGACTCAAGTCTTTTCCAAGACTTTTTCTTAGCATTTGCGAACACAAACTTCAGTGTATTTAAAGGAGGGAAGAGGAAGATGACATAATTTTAAGTCAGAATGGAAGGAGAACTACTAGAAACATCAATTTTTATGTATTTATTTGTGTGATTGCGTGTGTGTGCATTCTGTGAACACACACAGGTCTACTTTTTGCCAAAAGTAATTTTTTTGTTTTGTTTTTATTTTATTTTTACCCAAAGATGATTTGGACAGAGAAAACACTTTTAACAAAAATGACTTAAAAGATTATTTTAGAAAAGTTGTGATATAAACCGCTATTGGAAATCGTTTGAGTTTTTTTCGAATGTCATAAAAACTCAGAAGAAGAAAAAAGGAAAAAAGAAAGGTGGGGGGAGGAAAAGAAGGAGAGAGAATGAAAAACAACATCCTAAAAGTCTGCTGCAAGAATGAGAGAAAAAGGAAAACACAAAACTGAGAAACATCATATTCATATATATATAGTGTGTGTGATAATAACCACACTCTAATAAATATTTCAAAAACTGTAAATATGGCAGAAATATCAATAAAATTGTCATAAGCGTTAGCTAGGCTGCTTCATTTGTTAGCATTTGGACAGCAGATATAGATATGCTAGAGAGAAATGTAATTTTCTATATTAATTCTGCAACATTTGTCATGTTCTGTAATATATTGGTCATATTGTGTTTTTTTTTTACTGAATAATGTCAAATATAGTAACTTAAGTATTAAAATTAGCTACCAAAACATGTTTAATAGGTAATTTTACAGTTGCAGCCTGCATGTGTCTCAACGTATCTATTTCCTTTAATTACTTTCCTCTCAGCTTTTCAGTCTGCTTCACTTAATATGTTTAGTTAAATTTACTTGATTAATGTAGTAATTTGACTTAGGTGGTTCATTCAGATGTAGTTGAAAATATCACTTACAATATCACTAATTAAAAATATTTTTCTTATAACCTCTTTAAGGGCATTAAAATGAACTCAATATTTTTAGGTGTAAAAATGTTGAACTGATTCAATTAAGTTTAACATTGAATCATTACTTTTTAAGAGTGTTTAACAGATATATTTTTAAATCTTGCCATAAATTCTGAATAAGACTTAGGTCTGGACCTTGACTAGGACGTTGCGACATGATTATGATGTGATCTGAGCCATGCTTCTCTGTCTGTACAGAGAAGCATCCAGACAGGAAGGTGACCCATAAAGGAGGGTAAAATGGACTAAAGATTTTAGATTTTGTAGTATTATTGAGATAACATCAAAAGTTATGATTTAAAAAACATGCATTGTTTCTTTTTTAGGTAACTGACTTCATTGCGCCTCAAAAATAAATGCTGCTCTTGAAACAAGTAACATTCTGAAATGTGATTTATGTCACTAACTTTGTATTGACAGTATTTAATCTCTATAAATAAATCTCAAATTTACTAAGACTTAGCGATACTCTCATGGATAAAAAAGACAGTAGATGAGAAAGTAAAAAATTTTAGTCTGTTTTTTTTTTTCTTCTTTTTTTTCCATTACTGGAATTTATCGTGACAATAATAAATCAAATATCTTGTACAGACAAGAAATGTTTCAATTTAAATGATGAGTTACGACAAACAATCCGGGCCTCACAGTCAGGAGAACTTGTCAAGTTTTCTGTCAAATTGGGATTTACATGTAGGCTGAAAAGTTCAGTTTCAGCCTCATCTGAGGCGGCCATCTTCCTTCACATGTTTAATGATTATGTCTTCTGCAACTACAATCAAACATGACTTTATTGATCTTGTGCTGCCTCACTATTTCTGCCACCACTTGGAGGCAGCACACCAGTTGTTTCTGCAGCTTCTCCTCTCTCTCTCTGTCTCTCTCTGTCTCTCTCTCTCTCTCTCTGTCTCTCTCTCTCTCTCTCTCTCCTCAGCCTCCCTGACTGTGACCTGGATATCTGGATGTGAGCTGAATATTTGGATGGATTTCTCAGTTCCTAAAATGCATGTGGCGGAAGGAGCACTGAGATTAGAGGAGGCTTACTGCAGGCACTCAAAACCAGGATATATCAGTGCGCCTCCAACAGCAGTATTTTCAGCATCCATAACATCTAAAGGGCAACTTCACAAATTTCATTTCACGCTTATTTGACAGAAATAACCACATGCAGCTCTCCGGAGGAGCAACTGTCACGTCTTCTCTTGGTTATTTTGATTTCCACCAGCTTCTGAATTTCCAGCCTCTCCATATTTTTGAATATTTGTCATTTGGTGTTTCAACTGGCAGCAAAGAGGCGCTGCATATAGAGTTTAGGAACAGAATTCATCTGCCGAAAACTGCATGCCACATTTTTTTCTGTTACAACCACAAAGTCTTAGGGAATGTTTTTATGATAGACCATCACAATGTAGTGCAGGGCGTCCAAACTTGATGTAAAATGGGACAAAATCATCAACTCAAGAGCACTCAGGTCCAAAACACTAAACATTTTTAAAAAGCTAAAATCACACAAATAAATCAATCACATCACAACAACCTCAACAATAAATTAAACATGTCATGTTTCTGTCATGATTTAATTGTGCTAACTAAAGTTTAGTTAGCACCTTTAGTTAGTAACTTGTCAACTTTATTTAGAAAGTTACTAAACTCACAGAAACTATCACTGAGGTTTTACAGTGATAAAACCTCTTGAGGTTTTACAGTGTTCCTGTGTGTTCCACAGGAACAATGAGTTCCTGTGTGTAATGAAGCACACAGGATCTCATTGTGTATTGATGGTGTATTAAGCTGGTGCACTAAGCCCTCCACTCAGACTGCACCTCCCTTCCTCCCAGTTTGTGTGCTGGTACCTTAAGCACGGTGATGTTCCAGGTGAAACTCTCCACTGCCTTGTTCAGCTTGCGTCCCTTCAGCCCCTCCTTCTCACAGAGCCGGGACAGATCCTCATGGAGCTCCATTCCTGACAAACACAACCGGGAGATAATGATGAAAATAACACACATATAACAGCAGCACGTTGTCATAGGAAACTGTTAGTGTATCTGACATTTGCAGAAACACTAGCAAGGTCAGCTTCATCAGTAAGTGGGTTTAAAAGCTCATGCCCTGTCATTAGCTGAATAAGTAAGTGCACCTGTGTAGCTTCATGTGGAAACATCGCAGCATGGCGACACACACAGCTTCCTGCTGGAGGCCAACGATGAGATGACCGCTACTGGTTTTAGCTGATTAGTTATATATAATATATAACATATAGCCTGATATACATTAACACAGGGACTAATTGTCAACGCTATGACAACTAGATAACAAGGTCAGGAAAAAGTTTTTGTTAAAAAAAAAATATTGAGGAAGAGGGGAGAAGGTCAGTTATGCTAGCTTGACTTTGATAACCTTCAAATGTAGATGTGCTGCAGAATTCTGTTAGTTTTGGTCCAATTAAAAAAAAGGTGATCCTCACACAGATTAGCAGTAGAGTAGGGGATTAAATTAGCTAAGCTACCACAGAGATCACTTATTAATAATCGCAAAAATAAACATCGAAACTGGAAACTGAAAACTGTGACGGACTGAATGTTCTGTTCTTTGTGTGGGAAATGTTTGCATGTTTTTTGGTGTCGACCCCTGATCCATTTGTGACAACAATGCTGTAAATCTATCAGTTGACTGTTGTCAGTCAGTTACTATGTCAACGAGTCTGTGTGTAGCATAGCTGACACAGAGACAGAAAAAAGGAGAAAACGAGTGGTTTTCAGTTGTTATTAAATGGTTTGTTTGTGTTATTTGCCCTTTGTGGTGCACTGCACTAAATGAGTAACACTGACCTCTCCAGGTTTCATTTTGTTATCAGCATTGTTCCACTTCGGCAGCCCGGCTGTGGATGCACATAAAGGAATCGTCTTTTTGCTTTCCGCAAATTGTGCATGTGCGAAATTTCCGGATGTAAATAGTAACATGCAACATGCCTAGAGCACTTACTGCACGTCTGTCCAGCAGAGCTGGGAATACATTCATGACCCATTCATTTCTGTGGGTGTTGCTACAAGCAGAGTTTTATATCTTCAGGCTTTACCTTCCCTGTGCACCTGGTCGATCCTCTCCTGAACACCGTCTGCGTTCTCAATCAGCTGCTTCTGGGCGGAGATCATCTGAACAGGAGAACAGAGAGCCAGGTTGAGCTCACAGAACATTTAGTTTGGTGTTGATTCAGAGGACCCGCTTAACTGATCAACAAGAATGTGAAGTCTTATTCTGTTTCCCTGGCAAATATGTTATTATTTTTAACAATTTTATCCTTTCTGTTCATCCGTTACTTTCTCTTTCTTTTAGAGTCCCATCATCGGGTAGGAGTGCCGTAAATGGTGTTGTGGGAATAAACTTGTCTTGCCTTAACCGAGTTTTGTGGACGGAAATAAAAAGACAAAGTTCCGGCACACACACACACACACACACAAAGGAGATTGTAATCCAGTACACTCAGGAAGGGTGAAGAGTTGTTTTCTAAGAGTGCAGGTGACACCAGCCACTGCTTCCTGACACTGACCTGCTGGCTTCACATCTATCAAACACACACACACACACACACACACACACACACACACACACACACACACACACACACACACACACACACACACACACACACACTGCTAACTGAGCAGCTACAGCAGGCTGCTCAGGAAGGGAAGCTCTGTGTGTTCTGAGGTGTGTGTAGGTGTGAATAACTGACAACAGGTGGGAGAGACTCGGCTGCAGCAGGAGATGGAGGGAGTAGGAAGAGGTGCAGCTGGCAGTCCCACTGTGTGTGTGTGTATGTGTGTGCATGCGTGGGTGTATGCGTGTGTGTGTGTGTGTGTGTGTGTGAAAAAGGGTGAAGTGTTTTTCTAAAAGGCCTGATAATGTGTTTCATTCATCTTCTGGATCCAGCAAAGTTTCATTCGAAACAAATCCAGGGCTGTCATTAGCTAGAGTGACTGGTAGTCAGACTGCTGGAGCTTGAGAAAACAAGCACATCATTAGGCGTACGGCGGACCCCAAAGTAAAGTCAAATTAGGGGCTTTAGTGGCTTAAATGGAATAAATTGCAGCCTGTGGAACTGATTACTTGTTTCCATTCCTCTGTCGGTCCATTTTAGGCAAACCTCAAAAACTATTCTGACGATGTGAAGTGAAGTGATTTGATTTGAAACTCTTTTACTCCTACAGAGATCAACAGTTTTAAGAAGAACTGAAAGCCACAAAAAGGGGCAGTTTGAATGTTTTGCTAGGGGTTTTATGATAGATTTTAGGCCAGGTTTACACTCTAGCTGGAAACAGCACACCTCTGTCGACCATGAACAACAAAATGCTGATGTAACACACGTGTATCTAATGAATGGATCATTGACCAACATCATTTTTTTATGTTTTCCTCGCTTCATCTCGAAGGCAGAGCAAGGTCCACTCAGGCATTTTGCACACTTGAATGGTTATCATGGAGATTAAAGGGTTTCTCAACATGAATGAAAGAATCAAAGCAACTGTCCAGGCATGTTTTGATGAGAGAATAACATTATAACATGATGCATAGCTCAAAAAAGTTGATTTTATTTGATACTGCCCCTTTAAGGTTTAGGTTTGAGGTCTTTCTGGGTAATACGATTCCTCAAGGTGACTCAACCTTTATAAAGTTGGAATTAACCATGTATACTAATAATCTGATGGAAAAGCCTTCATCTGTGTGAAAAGTTCTTTCCATCAGAGGAGATAAAAAAAAATCTTTGCAAAGCGGCTTTCGATCTGTATTAGTCATGGCTTTTCTATGTAAGAACCTTCATCCTTACTGAGAAACTGGAATCATAACAGCTCAAAACAAACACAAAGCACCAGCTGGAATTGTCTCTTTTTTACTATTACTACCTATCAAGACTGGTCAACGTTTTTCGTCACCATGCTCCTAAAAGTGACTGTCTAACAAAACACAGAACAAGTTTCTGGCTGTCAAACGGGGAACAGTCAAGGATATTTAAATGGTCGCCTGTGGCAGGTTTTCTGTGTGACCTCACAGTGACCAATGATTCAATCAACAATTGCCAAAAATCTGTTTCCCTTTTTCTCATGTAAATGTCTGTCACTGGTTGTAGTGACAGGGCTGCATATACCTCGACAGAGGCCATTGCAGTTCATTCAACTCAAAACCTGACAGCCCTGAGCAGAGCTTTGTGTCCTCAGTCTGATCAGAAACACTTTCTTCAAACTCTCTTTGGCAGCCGGCAGAATTAAAAGCAGGATCTGGGTTGTTATGGATGCGTTCTGACATACTGACCGTGTCGTAGGCAGAGAGAAGCTTCCGAATCGCCTCAGACAGGCTGACCTGAGGCTCCAGACAGGGGTAACCCTCCCTCAGCACCATGGTGGCCCCCATTGCCCCGTCGGGGCTCTGGAGCCTTGTTGCCAGACTCTGGATGCACTGCTTCAGTTTGGCCACAGTGGGGAGCCCACACTGGTCCTTGAAACCGGCGGTGGAGCACTGGGGAAGAAGAGTGGGACAGAGCTGGATCAGGTGTGCTTCTCCTCCAACAGAACTATGCTGAGTGACGACAGGAAAAAAGCTTGACACACACACTCACACACACGCACACTTTATACTACAAACATCTGCTGCTTCACTTGCAAATCAAATCAGTTTCACTTCACCTGTGAAATCAGACTTGACCCAGATAGATTTATCAGAACAATTTGACCTCAAGCTGCAACAGAAAATCAACACATTTTAGACTGTAAAAAAACTTACCAAGTAGTGTTGGTCTAATTTTTAGAGCAAATGTCTTGAATTAAGACAAACATAACATAAAAGTAAACTTTAAGGAAAGAAGTTGTTGCATTAATTGATATTATTGTTTTGAAACAGTTTTCAAGTAACATAATGGTGATTTCATAATAATACAAGAGCACAATCTCAAAGTACCAATAAACATTCAATTCTAATGTACATTTAATACTGGAACTGGAAGACATATTAAATATCCAAAATAATACCAAAAAGCAAGCAACAAATAAAATCTATCACTAAGTCTCTAAGCAAAATTGTCCTTCAAAAAAATGACTAGATTATGCCAAAGCACCAAGCTGAAAACTTTTTTTATAAAGTCTTTGGTATAAAAAAAAAGAAAAAATTATGAATCATGCAAATGGAGATTATTGTGCTAATTTTAATTTATTATGTGATAAATTCATTTATTGCTTACTGCAACAGACTGATTTGTAACAAGACATTTTTCCCCATGTTAGAAGTGAAACAAAAATCTGCCAGTGGAAATATGTTTTCATCAACATTAAGGAATTATTGACTTAAAATAAGGTGCTATATCTTACTTAAAAGTTACTTATATTTTGTTTTTGTCTTATTTCAAGTGTGCTGATATATTTGCATTAAAAACCAGACCAAAAATACTCAGGAACATTTTGTGTTTTTGTAGTGTACCTGTTTTTAATTTGAAGTCGGTGCAGCAGAAGTGGAAAACGAGTTTCTGTAACATTCAGCTGCTAATGAACAAAGTGACTTCAGGCCTCAAACAGAAAAACTCTGCCACTGTGACTGAACGGTTTTGTCAACAGAAAAAGCTCCGACATGGCGGCTAATTATTACAGCCTACCTTCACTGAAGGGTATGTGTGTGTGTGTGTGTGTGTGTGTGTGTGTGTGTGTGTGTGTGTGTGTGTGTGTGTGTGTGTGTGTGTGTGTGTGTGTGTGTGTGTGTGTGTGTGTGTGTGTGTGTGTGTGTGTGTGTGTGTGTGTGTGTGTGTGTGTGTGTGTGTGTGTGTGTGTGTGTGCGTGTGTGTGTGTGCATGTGTGTGTGTGTGTGTGCGCATGTTTGTGCAACAGTAAGAGAAGTGTTATGGATGTTAAGTGACCCTGGCAGATGAGCGCACAGCCTTAGCAGCTTTAAGCTTTAAGTGAGACAAAGCAAAAGGACAAAAAAGCAGAAGAGCGGTGATAGGAGCTGCTAGCTAAAGAGTGAACAGTGTTTCTGTTCAAGACCTGGTGTGTAGACATGTGTGAGCAGGAAGCCTCTGCAGCTGAAGATGACTTATATTTGTTTTTCTTTCCACATAAGAACTGTACTTTACCCTTTAGCCGTTGCTAATTTTGTAAATTTCATCTTTGTCAGTCCTGCTACTGACAATATTAAAGGGGCAGTGTTATGGTGTCATAGCACATATCAAAAATCTGATACCTTCCATTGTTACTAAAATGCTATATAAATATGATATGACTTAAAAGAAATTGGATTTTGTAATTTAACGTGTTAAAATTGGGCCTTTGTCCCTTTAAAATTCCTCTTTCTGAAACTCCACTTTCAGGAAGTCATCACAGCATTGCTCCTCTATTAACTCTTTAACGCTTTTATCAGCGTTTCACTAAAAAGCAGCTTGTATGATGAGCTCAGTAGATATTCCATCAGAGGTCTGCCATTTGCTGCTGGCTAGTCTGAAGGGGCTGAGTGGGGGCTGCTCTGTGAGGCAGAAGCTTGGAAACTGCAGATCAAAAGAGGAGAATTATAACATTTCTCAAAGATGCTTTTGTTTGAATTCTCTTGTGTGCAGTGCCAATGAATGGTGGAGAGCTGTTTTCTAACATAACCTTCTAGGTTTATGTTGCTATTATATAAGGGAAGCATAAGCTTTATGAAAAGAAGCAATAATTCATGGCAGTTCACATAGCTAGATAAATGAGCGCCCTGCAGCCCAGCGATGGCATTCTGTGCTGTCTCTTTAAAGCAGCTCTGCAAAAGTGAGCCAGTACAGACTGTGTGGTCCAAAAGCCATGTTGGCCAGTCGGAAGACCTGGATCAGTCTCAGCTCTGGGATTCTCACCAGGATCTCAGAGATTCTGGCTTGTTTATAGAATTAGCCTGACCTTCTGCATTTGCATTATTTTGGAGTCAAACAGTTGTTGGCTACCTGTGGAAGGAGCTGGAAAGGGCTAAGGTCAGGCTCTGTGCTGGACTGATAAGCAGGAAAAAATGTCTTTATGGCCTTGGAAGCAGTCTGTGATGCAGACGCTGGAGAGGTCATGCAGTATTCATTGTTTCCCAGCACATATACAGGGTTTACTGTTGGGCCTCTAGCTATGTGAAGGTCTAAAAACTACAAGGAGGCTGTGATAAGAACTATCATTTCCACAAACTGTCACTTTAAGCAGAAATAGGATATTCACTGCATGAATATGTGATATGCTAACAATGATGAGACGCTGAAGGAGCTTTTTGTCTCTTCTGCACTTTGGGGACCTTCCGATGAAACTTCCTCTACTATTTCACCAGTGAAAGGAGGACTGCTGCTGCTGAGATGAAGCCCTGAATTTCATTCAGTCTGTCGTGTGTGCATCCAACATCTGTATTCCACATGCAGGAACAGTCAAGTGAAGTAAACTTTATCATCCGCATATAGATAAGCTTTGATCCTGCTTTACTCATAATTCTTCAAAAGGAATCGTCTTGTGATCGGAAGGTTGTAGGTTCGATTCCTCCTGCCGCATATTGATGTGCTCTGGGAAAGGAACATTGCCTACCTGGTGTATAAATGCGTGTGCCTTTGTGAGCGTGAATCTAGGAATGTGATATTATATTACTCTTATTCTCAGCTGTTTGAGAATGCAGAATATATTCTGGTACTAGTGCATTCTTACTGTTTTACTTTTAGTCATTTATTCATCATTCTTTCATCTTTTACTAAGTCGTTTGGTTGAGCGTTACCAGCTTAGTGAGTTTGGTGATTAAAATAATAAACCTGAAGGTCGAGTTCCTTTTTTTCATAAACTCTCGTATATTGGAGAGAAGTTATTTGTCTATATCCCTTACATCTTCAGCTCTAGATTTATGCATTGATCTATTGTTATTTTAATACCTTTACATTTAAAGACAACAACTGAGACTGAAATATTTGGCCGTCATTTTCCTAATAATCAGGTGGTGCTCCAACTTGGTAACTTTGATATAAGTTAATAATTTTGATAATAATTACAATCATTTCTAGGTATTTGTAGCCAAACCAGACCTGTTGTTGCACACAAATACAAACAAGCACAGTAAGAACACATGTAGTTCTTCTTTTCACATTGCCCACCAGTTCATGTTAGTGTTCAGCGATAGAACTGGTGGCTGCTGCACGGCCAGCCTTCACTTCTCCTGGTATTTATAGAAGCTTTATTGTCCTCCTCCACTCTTCTCACCGACTATTGCTTTTTTGTCACGCCTCCTCCGCCTCCTCCTCTCTGATTCGGCCCACAAAGGAGTCTCAGGTAGCGGCTGACTGCAGCTCCTGCACCTCAGCCACACACTCACAGATCCTTTTAACACACGGAAAGTTCACAGGCATATACAGTCTATCTGGGCTGTTCGGTTCAGGGCTGAGTGGAAGTGTGTTTGTGTTTGCAGACAATACAAATAAAGTTGGCTTAATATTATAGAATTCCCCAAGTGAATCTCTTTCTTTATTACTTCACACACACTATAATAATGAAATTTCATGTTTGTCTGGTGAAGCCAATAAAAATGAGATCTGTTTCGCTCATTTTACAAACATCATTTTGTTTGTAAATCGTGATAATTTTTTCTACATCATGTGAACAAAACACATATACACATATAGATCAGAGCAAAATTACAAAGAAATGTGATAAAAAATGCAGTGTGGTTTGTATTTCTTGAGGTTTTGTTTTTAACTTAAAATGAAATATTAGGATCATATAATTGTCATGAACAGATAATACATGTTTGTGCTTTTTATTCCTTACTTACTTCTTCATAAAATGTAAACAAAAATGAATTACAATCAGGTTTTAGCTAGTAAAAAAGAGAACTCCTATTTTCTCTTTTGTCCTTTGTTGAAGACCACCAGTCACTCCTCCTGCTATAGCAATATTCTAACTATAGTCCACTTCCTGCTTTTGGAGCGATCTGTTGTTCACATTTGCATTTGAACCGCGCCAGAGTTCACTTCTTTTCACACGGATCAGAGTTTGATTATATATTCCCACCAAAGAAGTTGGACTTTCAAGACAAACGGACCGGAGTTGGACTAACACCAACCCTGTTGGATTCACAATCCAGCCTTAAGGACAAATACATCAGTCACACTTTAGGCCAAAAGAGAGAGTGATCCTGCTCTCTAAAAGCAGTGTAATATAAACCCCGCCCATTCCCTTGTCTCACCTGAGCATCCTCTCGTAAGTCCGTGGCCTCCTTTAGGGGTCCGCCGGCCTGTTTGAAAACCTCATCCAGAGTTTTGATGCCGGTGTGACGCAGAGAGACGTACTCCCTCCCTCGCCGGCCCACCCTGCGCACCGACAGGCCCCGCCGCTGGGCCTTCCCTCCGCCTCGCCGGTTGGTGATAGCCACGTGAACAAAAAGGCTGGTGTGTGGTAAGGGGTCTCCCGCCAGGCCCAGCAGGGGCACGTTACGGTACCCCGGCTGAAGGCACTCGAAGGCCACGCTGTACTGGCCGATGAAATCGTCTCCGATGTAGTCGTCGTCTAGCACCACGAAGCGCAGCAAGGCCAGCTCAGGCATGTTGACCTGCACACAGGATGTGGAGCGAGGCATTACACAAGCACACACACCTACATGCACACACACCCAAAGTCATCCAGCACATTACATGTTTGGACTTAATGGAAGAGGTGCAGGAGCCTTCGCACACTATACCAGATTGTAGAACTGTTTCTTCCATCAGGCAGTGAGGAGGCTGAATTCTCTCTCACCACTTTAGAATCCACTCAGTGAGAAAAACAATATTAATCCGTAAGGGACGTAGAAGGCCAGACAATTTGCAAATGGACTGAAGGACAAAGACCTTAAACATGTTCTGTGGTCTAAATTAATTGAAAACGTTTCTCTCATTCTTCTTGCATTTAAGAAAAAGAACTGAATTTTCTTCATCTAACTGACTCAAAAGAAGCTTACTCTGATTTTACACAAGACAGCTAGAAAAAAACGGTTCTGCATTTCTTTTGATGCAGTGCATGTACAATATCTGATTTCAAATGGAACGTTATCTGACATGTTTTTGAGGGAACGGTTGGGGGTGAGTGTGTGGGGGGAGTTGGGGTTGCACCAACTGGCTGATTTTAAACTTTGTGATTCTTTGCTCTGCTTTGACATTTTATAATTAACATCAACCAGCCGCTATCACGCGATGAAAGGGATTTTTCCAAGAAGATGGAAGATGAGGAACAAGGAGATGCAATCCACGGAAGCTTGAATTGTATAAAAATGTAGAGTAATTTATACAGCAAAACTGCAAACTCTGGCAAAGGCAACAGAACTACTGTGCGATATGAAGTCAGGCCCTTTTTCATCCGTCCAACTGATTTCCAACAGCAGCATCAGACTGCATATTAAAGCTCCTAACCTGCTCTTATAAAAACAGTTTGACGACATCTGGAAGTGTAGTTCAAGCTGCATTCTGATCATCTGACAGGGTCTATCACTGCTGTCAACATGTCAGTTCGTAACAGACCAGGCAGAGAGCAGGTCAATACATGAAAATACATTTGGAAAAGTGGAAAAATGAAACACAAAGTGATTTATTTGTTTGCATATTTAGAGGGGGAAAAAAACCTATATTAACGTATGATTTCCTCCTAAGAAACCCATGTCTACGTGTTTGTCTCCCTGTGCATGTAACATCCAGAGCAGAGTTCCTGAGCCACTTTGACTCACCTGGCTCTGAACTTGTCAATTCAACCGAAGCCAACTCATAAAAGCTGTTATAAACAAGCTGCTGGCAGTGAACGCAGCACTGAAACATTATGGCCTGCTGACATTTAAACAAACTTCAAAGCTGCACATTACAACAATCTTTACAAAAGCATAAGACTGGTGACTGACTTTTAAGAGTCAATAAACAGGAAGCTGACGTTTAATTTAAGGTGATTAGAGAGAAATATACAAGTGCAATTCATCCATCTATTTTCTATAGCAGCTTTGTCCTGTTCACAACATCGTAAGTCTGATACAGTCCAAGTTCATTTAATTATAATGTGATTGGACTCAACACAGATTGTTTGTAAAATGTTGCCCAAACAATGAAGTGAATGGGTTACTTTGTTGGTTGGGGGAACTTCACAAAAATCTGGAACGGCTTGATTAGAGTTCCAGCTCAAACTTTACAACTACAGTTCAATACTTCCTGTTCTGTACGACCTGAACAGGTCAGATGAGAACTGACTGATGTGACGTATTAGCTAAGCAGACGCACTGGAGCAGCAGAGCTGATGCACACTGAGGTTCAGCTGCAGTTTGAAACATTTCTTCAGGCTGAGTTGTCAATCTGTAATAACAGATTTGATCTTCTGATGCAAGATCCAAAGAAAAGCAGGACAACTGAGCATCTGAAACTGTGTCCACAAGATGGAACATCATCTAGGGTGCATGAGCACGGCTTCACACATTAAATAACAGGCTCATGTTGTCTCAGGTCACGTTCAAGAAGTTCTATTTCAAAGGATATTGTTTTTTTCAGAAAATAAATGTATAAAAACAGGTCTCTGTGTTCCTTGGCCTTTATGATTCCAATATTCTCTAACAAACTTCTGAGAATCCTGAGAATACATTACACACAGAGGGGCTGTATACTTGACATCTGAGGGTGAGTTTTTCAATTTGGATGTTATTTTTAGCTTTGAGAAAACTGAAAAAAAAATTCAATCTAACCATATGATAAGTTATGTTGCTTTGCCAGTTTAAAAGTTACCATTTCAACCACTGTCAGGTTTTTGGGGGTCACCAAAGGTTGAAGCAGAGTCCAGCTCCATCAGGGTAGAGTTTTGTTTTCGCCTGTGCTGCTTCTTAACGAGCCGCAGATGAATTCGAAACGTCTGAATAATCCCATTCATCCACGTAATTATGAGAGATGATTACAGAGACGTTTTTTAATCCGGCTCCTCTCTTCATTCTTTCATTCTGCCTGAGAGGTCCAGCAGAATCATTTCTTGTTCCGATCCAAGGTGAAACAGAACTGGTTCGGAAGGGAGGATTTCAGATGAACAGTGTTCGCAAAAAAGTTTGACCTGGAGAGAGGTGCTTTATTTTAGCAAAACATACAATAAAAAATAATCTGTTGGAATAATTAAAAAATATAAATCCTGACATACCAATCAGATAAAAAAATAAATCTACAGTTTGTGGTTTCAGGACTGTATGTTAACATTTGTTAACTTGATGAATTTATAGAATAGAGCAGAAAGTAAATTATATTTTCTCCCAACCAAATGCAGTGCAGTTCGCCTCTTAAACAATAAATATAAGGCGCAATGAATGAACACGTAAACAAATATTTGGTTTCCTGGATCTCCCTCAGCCAGATCAAACCGTCAATAATCTCCCGATCTTCCTCTCCATCTTCATCCTCCGTACAACCTGTCCTCCCTCCTACACTGTCACTGCTCAACCTGCTCCAGCCTCCATGTTTTATTCACTCAACCTGCTCCAACCCCCCCGGACCCTCGCAGCGGACATCCTAACGTCAGTCAGTAACATTAATCTCACTCTGTCCAGCCTTCAGATTGATATTCCTCACAGATGAACTGATATCTCATCTGTTCCATCTAACACTAGTAGATACCAAGACCTCTACATTATTCATGTCATTGTGACATAAACTTTTTAAAACTTTTCCTTGGTCTCCCGAGAATAATCATGCATGTGGGTCAGAAGCTCATCTAAAACCACGACAACTTGTTGCAGTTGTGTTTATAATGGATGTGAAATGCATAAATACGCACCATGTATTGTGTTTTCTACTGAACATATAGGTCCTCAAAGTTTTGCAACTTAAATTGTTATCAACTTTAGTTTGAAGCATAATGCAGGGGTGAATTATGTATTACATTCTACAGCTGGAGGTAATGCTAATTTGGTCGACAAAATGGTTGATTTGTCAGTGATTATAATCCGCCACAGCATTCTGCAGCTGCACCTTCTGTTCTGAATTTATTAAGATGTCTACATTATCCCAAACTCCCACCAATTAAAATGAATCTACAAATGTAAAGCTGACGAGTTTAATCAGATGAGGTCATACTCACTAGAGGATGACCAGTGAAAAGATCAATCTCCTCCACCAATAAGGAGGAGGATTGGTTGTTTTTTCTGATCAAAAACAATCAGAGTCAGGAGGAGGGTCATGGTGCTGTCTATCAACATGACATACTCGCTGCTAAGTATGCTAATGGTGGAGAAACAACTTACTACTACAGGAAAACCGTTTATCAGCCGTCAAAACACTGTCAGCATAGTAGTGGCTATGCTAACTCGCCTAGCATTCAGCACAGGACCTGCTGATGGGGAAAAGCCGGAGCAATAGCAGACAAGAACGGGGGGAAGAAATACAGGTGAAAGTATCTCTCCCTCTTTGCAGACCGCTCCAGACGTTTGTTTTCAGACCTCATTGCTTCAAATGTCATTCACATTTTGGGGAAATATAAGGTTTTACACAGCTTTCAGTTCTTAAAACTGACTGTGGAGAATTGAAATAAATCTAATTTAATTTCAGTTGTCAGCAGGCGTTTCTAAAACCATGAAAGCAGCCAGTTTGTTTCACTCTGCTTGCCACGTCCTTCTCATGCTACATCAGTTTAGATGAAGCAATCCCGACTTCCAAATTAGGGACCGAGTGAGAATAAAAGACGTGGAGCTCCTGGCTCAACGGACACAGGTTGTTTTTCTCTCAGAAGTTTTACTTTAGAAGCAGCTTAAACTTTTCATGAGGAGCCCCTCAGCCTAGCTGCCTGACTACAAAGGTCCAATTTAGTTGATCTCACTATCTCTCATCATGATGTTTTGAAACAACCTATTATGCTGGTTTTCCTACAAACATATAATCTGCAGTGCAGGGAGTGTAACAAACAAGTACAGTCATGGTAAAAGCAAACTGCCCCCTCCTTCTGAATCAGGGCATAAAGAAGCTCTGGTGGTTTAAAGCTGCAGTATTCAAGTTTTATTAAAATACATGTTTATACATGTTTGTTAAAGTTATTGTTATTTTGGGACAGTGTAATACAGATAATCTGCCAAAAAAAATACCTTTTTTGCTTTCTCCCAGTGTTCCCAGTGCTACACCACAGAAAAACTCAGACAGAAACCAGGAGGAGGGTCTTACCACTGTCAATCACCCTCACGCCTCAGTTGGTTCACCACAGAGACTGCCATGAAAGCTAAGACTAGTTGGCATGCTAATCAATGACAATAGGTAGACAGTTTCCCTGAACCAGTAAGTTGTTTCTCTGCCATTAAAACATTTCACATTGTCTTCATGAGGCTCATTGACAGCACTAAGCCCCTCCTCATGGCTTGATGAGGAGGGGCTTAGTGGTTGATTTTAACTGTTTTTGCAGATGGCAAATAGTTTCTCAGGGAAGAGGTGGAGGAACTTGATTGTTTTTCCTTACATTATGACTCATATTACACAGTCCAATTCAAATTCAAAAATACTTTATTGATCCCAACATGAAATTGAATAATAAATTTGATAATTGTCACAACATGCTAACAGTTTTAACAAATATGTAATAAACAGTGGTGCTCATTGGGGGTAGATAGTGGGGCTGTATAAAAGACCCCGGGTCCCTGTAATAAATCATATTCGGTTCATTGAATCCAAACAGTCATCTTTTTCAATCAAGACAAAAATATAAAACTGCATAAATAAAGAGTAAATATAGAAATAAAAATATTTAACATTGTCCACTAATTTCAACAAACTGAGGCGGTGGCTCAATGAGCAACTGTACTTGTGGCCTCCACCTGTGGGAGGCGGTGATGTACCGTAACCAAGATGATAACACAATGAAGAGTCCAAGTTTTCTCAAGTTCCCAACTTCCACATTCTGTAAAAGCAGAAAGTGCAACGCAACACATGTCACACTCCCTAACACACACATACCTCTGACACACACACACGCACGCACATGCACACACACACACACACACACACACCTACACACACACACACACACACACACACACGCACATACGCACACCTACACACACACACACACATACGCACACACCACCTCTATGAGTGCTGACAGCTGAGGCAGCAGTTTCCTTTCAAAGCCCTGGATCTTAGTTCATCCTCAGCTTGGCCCCTGTGGCAGAGCCTCGGGGTCAAATGATTAAGACACACAGTCACACACACATACACACACACACGCAAACAGTATCTCCTTACCTGAGCTGTGTGTCTGACTGGGAGATGCTGTGTATGCTCTGTAATTCTGGGTGTCTGATGGGGCTGTTTGTGTGTGTGTGTGTGTAGTGTCTGACACACCTCCCTGTAGTCCCACTAAGCCCTGGGTTATACATTCTGCGTCTAATGAGTCAGGCTGACTTACACACCTGGTTTTTTGTTGTTGCCAAGAACTTTTCAGCGATGTTACTGATTACCTGACAGACTGAGGTTCCTGCAGCCACAGAAAGACACAACCAAGTAAGAAAACTACAGTTTGTACAAACGAAATGATGCTCAAGAAAAATGAAAATGAGTTGTGTGTTGTTTATAATGACAACACAGAAGCTTCTAAGCTGCAGTATCTCCTGAAAATATTTTTTATGTGTTGGTTGAAACTGTCACTGTGTTGTGACAAGTTTGGTATGAGACAGATAATCTGTGAAAAACTGAGCTCTTCCTGTTTTCCAGTCATATAGTGGAATTTTATAGCACAATTAAGTAACTATGTTGCCCTCAGTTGTTATAAAAATGATATATTTTTCAAATATAACTTAAAAGAAATTTGACTGTGTAATTCAATGCCTTGAAATTGGGCCACTGTCTCTCCTGCCCTTTCTGAAACTCCACCTTCAGAAAGTCATCACAACATGGCCCCTCTATTAACCCTTTCGCAATGTTTTTACCCTCGTTGCACTGAGAAGTAGCTCCTATAATGAACTCAGGAGATACGCAGTCCCACTAGGTGTTTGCTAATTACTCCCGGCTAGTCTGAAGGAGCTGAGTGGAGGAGATGTGGGAGGAGGACTGCTCTGTGAAGCGGAAGATTAGAAACTGCAGCTCTGAGAAAGAGATACGTCCTTGGAGGCGGGGCTAAATCCATCCAGGTGTTTTGCACAGCTGAATGGTTACTATGGAGATTAAAGGATTTCTCAAACACACGAAAGATTCCATGCATGTTCTTGATCACAGAATAATGTTATAACATGATGTAAAGCTAAAAAAAAAAAGGTCAATTTTACATAATACTTCCCCATTAAGATCCAGAGTAATGAAGGAGTTTCTCTCCACTGTCTGCCTGTCAGAAGCCTGGTTTAGTTGGTGACCCAGTTGCTACGGTATCAAATGTGCAGAGAGGCGACGCTGCAGCGTCATTTACCTGAGGCAGCGGATCTGTCTGTCACACTGAAATGAAAGGCAGGTTCACAATAACATGAGGTAACAACAAGATATTTTCTCTTCATATAAATTGAAGATTGTCACAGAACGGCGAACAGACCTTAACATGGCGACTCGCTCAACACCGCAGAGGAAAAATAAGGCTAACAAGAGTCTGAGAGGCGATGGAAAGGACAAAATAAAACCCTCATGTAGGTTATGAAAATGAACATAAAGTATCTGAACAAAACCAAGTGGACTTATACTGAGTGGCACACTCACACAGAGCTTCATACATGTGATTCACTAATGCACATGCACACACACGCTGCCGTCTCAGACAGACAAACCGTCCATTCAAATCTTATTTAAAGCCCGTCTCCTGCCAAACAGTCACTGCAATTACTGCCTACTGATTACAGGTATTATTCCAATCTTTTTCAGTCTTTGTGGAAGTACATTATGTCTGCAGGAAGCAACACAAACACACACACACACACCCCCACACACGCACACGCGCACACACACACACACACACACAATGGGAACACGAAGCGCATATGATTTGTGACTGTTCGCCATTGTGGCTCAGCTACAATTACGCAGGACTGTCTGTGAGGGACAACAAAGCTCAATCAGCAAGTCATCAAATGTCATCCGTTTTAATGTTTTAATGGATCTGCATCATACAGCAGTGTTTTCACAGGAGCACTTCATTTTGATCTTGATGGTCCCAACCCTGCCACCCGTCCGCCTGCCCCGTTCTGCTCTCCTGCAGGTGCGGAGCCGACACCAACCTCTCTAAATCCACAGAGACCTCTGTTGTTCCGTTCACACTTCTGTTCATCTTTCACCTTAAAGAGGCGAGTCCCGTTAAAAACACAATGTGTGGACCGCCGAGTTTAAACAGCTGAAGATTTCTGATATTAACGTCAATCACAGCGCACGACTTCATAAACCTTTTTTAGTCGCACAGAGCTGATAAACGTTTCTCAAACACCAACAAAGAGCCTTTGGTGGAAAGTCTAAGTAACATTAAGCAGTCTAAGCAGGATTATCATAAAGAGCCGCCATGCATTTATATAACAAGATTTAAAATTCAAGCTGTGTTTTTCTGCATTTGCTTTCAAAGGTTTATGAGCAGATGAGCACAACTGACCAATATCTGGCCCCCATCGAATTTATGAAGCTCCAGCTCAGGGTTATAATAAATTTTGGAAATGCTGCAAACTCAGTTTAGTGAAATCATGCAAAGCTTCATCATTTACAGTTTAAACAGGAAGTTTACAGGCAACAGAATTTTTTTTTTTCTTTGTGAAGTTAAATCAGACCAAACTACTCTTGATTCAGGACAGTTGGAATCACCAGAATTATTTATATTTGCTAAATGTCATAATAATGAGGTCAGATATTTATTTATTTTATTTATTTATTTATTAATGTCTTTGGCTTACCTGGAACTCAAAGGTCTCGTCAAACATGGGCTCGTCCTGGTTCTGAGCGGCAGTGCGTGTCCGCTGCTCTGCACAGTCAGCCGGGACCCCGTGCAGCTCCAGCACAACATACGGGTCAATGACCTCACCCTTGGCCCCTGACCCTTGAGGCTTGGGCAGATTGTGGGCACTGATCACCTGCTCAACAAAATACAGAGCAAATCATGTGAAGTTCATCAGAAAAAAAAATCTCTGAAGACAACCTTTATATCTAAGGCAGGTATGTCAAACTCCAGTCCTCAAGGGCCACTGTCCTGCAGTTTTTCAATGTGCCACAAGTACAAAACACAGGAATGAAATGGCTTGTGTATATAAGTTCTCCAGAGCCTTGGCAATCACCTAATTATTCTATTCAGGTGTGGTGCAGCAGAGGCACATCTAAAAGTTGCAGGAAAACCGGCCCTCGAGGACTGGATGTTGACACCCCTAATCTTAGGGGTTCAGCAGGGTCAAAGGGCAGGCTCACTGTATATCAGCTTCGCCATCAGTATCAGCCGATGTTATTTCAGTCATTGTTTAAATTATTGGTATCAGTCAGATAAGTAGAAATATGCTGATATTAACAGCCAATATTCATCATTGTGTTGGTTATGTGGTATTACTTTTGGTTATGTGACAGTGATAGTGATGCAACAGGATTTGGTGACATGGTATCATTTTACAGCACAACCAATTTCAAGTAACTATGTTACGTAAAATTATTACAAAGATCAAAGAAAGTTAACACAACTGCTTGAATTTGGGCCTATGTCTCTTTAAGAAACTCCTGCTCTTTCTGAAACTCCGCCTTCAGGAAGTCATGACAACATGGCTCCACTATTAATCCTTTAGCAACATTTTTTTTACCAGGAAAGGCAGTTTCACTGGGTGATAGCTAATTGCTTCTGGCTAGTTTGAAGGTACTGAGTGGAGGAAACTGCATCTCTAAAGATGAGCTTTGTCTGAAAGATGGCTGCTGAACAGTTGCCACAAAAAATTAATGGATTTCTCAGCCATGAAAAGATCAAGGCAACACTCCAGGTATGTTTTTGATACTATTATAATTAGAGGGAGTAACATTCTAATTTACATAGCTCTGCCCATTTAAGTATATGATACTGAAGTTTTAGTTATTAATTGTTGAGTATTAAAGTAAAAACAACAGAGCAGCTTCTGGACCTTAACGCGCAGAGTCTGAGGCGGGACTCCTGGCACGCAGCCGTGTGTGTGGGCGCTGAAGTACGACACCTCGTCCCTCATCACGGCGGGCCGGAGGACGTAGCCACTCCCCCCGTTCTGAGTGAAGCGGCCCCGGTGAAGGTCCAGCATGGCGCCTGGAGTCTGCTGGTTCAAGGCCACGAGCTGGACCCCTCCCTTCCAGTATCCCTGCGGGTTGGGGTTGCTGGAGTCCAGGCGCACTGAGCTGGGCCGTACCCTGGTCAGGGTGCGCTTGGTGAACACCACCAGGTCCTCCGGGCTCTCGCTGGTTAGCCGCCCGGCCTCTCCCTCGCCCAGGGAGCACATCGTCCAGTAAGGCAGCTCCGGGGAGACGGGCGAGCCGGGGGATGAGGGACTGCTGGTGGGGGATTGCTGCTGGGTCTGCTTGTAACTTCCCCTCTGGGTGTAGAAGCTGCGGCTGCTGGTCCGGACAATAGCCACCAGGTCCGACAGCTCCCTGTGGAGGCTGAGCTTTCTGGGCTGGGAAGGAGGTGGGACCACCAAGACCACGCCCAGTTCCTCCTCCCCAGGGATGGTCATCCTTCTTCCTGCCAGGGGCCCGCCCCCTCCGATCTCCTCGTCCTCCTCAGACACCTCCCCATCAGAGCCCTCCTCCTCTGGAGGGAGCTTCTTCCCCACTAGGAGGATCCTCCCCTTCAGTTGCTCGGGGGAGGGCAGAGTCGTGGCCCGCCCTCCCAGACTCACATGCTGGGCATCAGGGGTGTAAAGCCGGGACCCGAACACCTTCTTCAGGTGGTGGGCCATGGTGCGTTGCTGACCCGGGGAGCACCGGTGACACAGGTACAGCAGCAAAGGGTACTGGGAAGTCAGGAAGGCATATTTATTGACTACCTCCAGTGCAGAGCGAATGGTAACAGGCGCATGGTGGTGGTGGTGATGATGGTGGTGAGAGATGTCGGGCCCATAGTCGACCCCGAGCAGAGGCTCGCCCTCGGGGCCATCGGTCACACCCAGCTCCAAGCACCGGCAGCCGGACTGCAGGGCCTTGATGAGGCCGCCAAGGTCAGCTCTGCCGTGGACCTGGTCATCCAGCAGGTAGGAGCGGTATGAAGTACTGCAGAGGACACACACAGGCACGGCTCAGAAAACACACACACACAGAAAACACAACATGAAATCAGAAAACATAAGGACGGGTCAGTCATTAGGTGGTTGATATGGGCAATTAGTTGCAGTGAATTGTATTCATAGTTTTGAGGCTAAAGAGGAATGAATCTGTGTGTACAGATATTTCAAACATTGACTTTTGAAGAGTTTTATAAAACCATGTGATGAGAGCATCTAGTATTGCAAGACAAAACTATACAGATCAGAATAGTTCAGTACAAATCATAGTCATTTCTGTTGGTTACTACAGTGTTTTGTTCCAGGGCTTCCTATGATGCACAGAAAAAACAAAATCATCCAATTAGCTTTTCGCTTTGTCCAGAGGGTCAGAGCTCCCCGCTATCGAGAAACAATTGCTTCGACTGTGATGAAGTTTTCAATTTCACCCAATCACTAAAGTTTTCCCGAGTTGTATGTAATGCACCAGTATGACACTATGAAGCTTACTGGAAATAAACAACCATCCTCCACTGTGCAGAGAAAAGTGCAGATCTGAACCAGGTGGCTGCTAACGTTAATTTAATCATTTAGACGTGTGACCAGCACACTTGAACAGCTTCCTCCACTTCCTCTGTTGGCAGTGATAAAACTACAGGGAGACTGCAATTCTGAAACATCATCGACATCATCATTCATAAAGTTTTTTTCTGTTTGCTGATTGGCCTGTTAAAAAATCTACCAGAGAGAGTCCAAGTGAAAGATTTTATTTTATAAGAATTGCACAGGAAGGTAACAGCCGTACTAGGCTGCAGTGTGTCTTGTGTTTTATTTAGCACAAGTCACTCCACTACTCCCTGACCTCAACAGGTCAAGTTCCATGTCCTGTGGATCCTCAAACCTTAAACTCTCTGAACAAGTCCGTCTGGCTTGAATCTTTCTGTTCCTTAGAGGAACATCAGCTTATTATCCACCCCTAAACTGATTCCAGTCGTTATTTGTGGCACCATAAAAGTTGAATAAGCCACTAAGAGAGCGCGACTGCATGTAATTTGAAGATTAATCCAGTCATGGGACACCTGCTCTCTATGTGTTCTTCCTGCATGATGTCCTATAAAAACAACAAGTCGATCTGAGGAGTAGTTTTATGAGGCCTGTTTGGAGGAAGAGGAAAAATATTTCCATTTTCTTTTATCCGACTGTAAGCTGTAAAGGTCTGGCTTTTGCAAGAGCGCTTCACTGAGTAAGACGCGGCTTCAGATGACCTAACATAGCGTGTAACGTAAAACTGGCACAATAACTGCAACTTAATGTGCGTATTGGTTTCAAATGTTGGATTTAGTGCTGGCTCTCACACAGCCGTGAGTAAGCAGAACCATCTGGCAGATATGCAGAAAGCAGCCACTGAATGAACCCAGTGCAGAGTCATGTGTGGAGACTTTGCAACAGCGCAGAACAATATGTGCTTCTGGGAAATAAGTGTATCTACAAAAAAAAATTTCTTCGGTCAGCTAACCCTTCTACCAGTGTGACGGGATTTGTTGGTGGCGCTCATGCAGATAACTGAGAGTGCTCTAAAAAGTGAAAACAACCCCATACGCATGTCAGAAACAGAAAACCTAAACATGCATACATAACCAGCCACTGATCCAGCTGTGGTGTTAGGATTGATTGGTGTTTGAACTCCAGCAACACCTGTGATTACACAGAAACAGTGGACTTATTTATAATTAGTAAGCCGTGTTGTACAGACACAGCTGGAGAGCATTTTTGCTTTCCATCTCCAGTTTTGTATTATGTACAGGGCCTCGCAAAAATATGCAAACCCTTTAAGCTTTTTTGCATTTGGTCACATCACAAGCACACATCCACATCCAGGCTGAGCAGAGAACGGATCAGTCAGTGCAGCAGCCAAGGAGGTTTGTTTTCTATTTTCTCTCTTTCTACTAAAATCTGGATGAGAAAAGTTTTCAGTCTGGTGTTTTAGTCTCAACTAGCTCCACTTTCTGAAGGACAATTTTGTTTGCAGAAACTTCATAATTCATTTTATTTATTGTTTTTGTTGTTTTGTTTATTTATTTTGGATAATTTAAAATGTTTTCCAGTTCCAATGTTGAATGCTGACTAGAATTTAAAGTTTATTGATCTTTGAGAATGTGTTCTTGCATTATTATGCCTTACACTTATATTACCTGAAAACAATATTATTGTTTATCTCAATAACTTCTGAGTAAATTGATGATGATGCAGCAACATTTGTTATCATGACAGGCTGAGCCAGCACTAGGAAATGCAGTTCTCTATAGAATCTACATATTTTCTTGTTTTGCTCTTCTAGCAAAGTGAGCCGTCAAACCTGATGTAATAGTGTGACAGGGGCAGGTTCATGTCCTGGCAGACGCCCAGGTGTTCGGGGTCCAGAAGCTGACACTCGGGCGACTGCAGGTAGCGTGCGAACCCGTCCAGGCCCAGCAGGCCGCGCTCCCGGCCCTGCGCCGACGGCTCGTAGCGCCTCAGCAGCTCCCAGCAGCCCTCGGTTGTAGCCAGGGACAAGCCCTGCTCCGTCTCCAAGAAGAGGCGGAGGTCCTGAGGGTCCAGGCACTCGCGGTCCTGGGACAGCTGAACCAGCAGAAAGTAAACGTCGGGTCGAGTGCAGAGCTCACAGAAGGCCTCCTGGAATTCCTCCCGCGTCACATGGGAGGTGAGCTTCTCTTTGCTCCGCTGGATCTCCTTAAATCGCAGGCGGACCTGTGGAAAGAACAGAGAGCACGACCAGGCACCATCCGGTCAGTCTGAGTCACAGAAAACTCATTTAGGTGACAACTGACCCAACACCTAGCAAGCTAATTCAAAAAAAGAATAAACGTTCTATCTTTATTTCAGTGAAGCAAGATGCTGCAGATCTTCCCACAGTCTGTTGTTTCATCTTTTCATTCGTCATCTCTTTGGGCAGCAGCATCAGAGACCTGGAGGCTCAACAAGCTGATAAAGAAGGCTGGTTCTGATCTGGTTCTGTTCTAGGGATGACGGTGGAACCTCTGGAGATGATGGTGCAAAGAAGGATTTTACATCAAATCAACAAAACTATGGACAATCCTGAGCATCCTCTTCATGGCACTAGCTGCGTTTTGTTACAAATGTATGCAAAATTTTGTTGAAGTTTGCTACAACACAGTCCGCTACGATCTCTTCTTGTAGCTATAGTTCCATCTACAAGACTGATGAATTTTGAACTATGAGTTGCAACGATATTTTGTTTTCCTTTGGAATCAACAAAGCATTTTTAAATGAGAATTTTCAATAAGGATGTTTAAGTGAGCCACAGTGAATTATGAAACTCCTTCACAGTTCCTCTCTGCTCTCTCTATCATCCAATCTCTGCCCGTGCTTGCAGCAGTTCTCTTCTGATCTGATCTTGGCAAAGGTATGTTCCTGCTGGTTATCTCCTAAGCCCACAGATTCTTTTGGTTGCTTGTGATATGAAAATAATTCAGGACTGTGTCCTTCAGAAACTCTGGTCACGATGGACAAAATTTTCTGTAGTTCAGCAAAACACCCACTTCAAAAAACACTTTTTAACCCACTTTACGCCAGGACTCTGATCTGCTTGGATTCAATGTGAATTACAGCTCGTCACTTATCAGCTTCAGCGAAAAAAGGCCAACATTTAAATTCTTCATATGTAAAATTAGTTGTCGAAAACAGCACTAAAAGATCTATAATTGAAGAAAAATACAGCAATTTAACTTTTGTTTCAGCTGAAAGACTCTGATGATCTGATTCAGATCTGGATCAACTCACATTAATTTGTGGCAAAAGAATAAAACTGAGAAAAAACTTCAGACCCAGTGGGTAAAGCTGTTTTTATGAACTGTGCCATCACTTTGCCAATGGAAAATTACCCTGGAGGCACAAAGATCAAATTGAGAAAGTGTATGACTCCAGGTCCCGTCTTACCTTGGCCTCCTTGATGCCAGGGCACAACTTGCAGACTGTGGTGACGGCCACATCCTCTGATACGATCCCATAGCCATCCTCGTCAACCAGCGCGAACTCTGCTGCCAGCCACTCGCTCCTCATCTTGCTTCCCAGACTGCCTTCTACCGCCACACCGCCTCCATCGCCCGGCCCTCCTCCCACTACCCCACACCCTCCGCCAGCCCCGCCGATGATCGAAGGGTGGGCGAGAAGGTACCGCAAGCCCGTCACCCAGATGTTGGCCACATCAGCTGACAATGCCACCAAATCTAGAGACTGAAGAATGAAGGGAAAATATGTGGGATGGTTTTTTAAAAAAACTGGTGATGACATTTCAGAATTTCCTTTTCCAGAATAAAGGAAAAGGAAGTACCAGGAGTTACCTGGTACTCGTCTCCATGAATGATGGAGAATGCAGCTTCCTCTGCCAGGTGTTCAGACAGAGGACCGGTATGAAGAAACGTCTCTGTGCTTTTTCCAGTACGGACCTCCCTGATATTGGACACGTCCAGTCTGGCCCGCTCCGAGTCTTTTTTGGACGGCTCCCAGCGCAGGCAGCTCAGGTCTGTATCCAAGGTGTAGAAGCGAGAGTAGATCCTGCAATTGGGTCGAATCTTCTTCAGCTCACACCCACCTTGCATGAAAGCCAAGCAGTCCGCTGCACTGCTCACCTGCAACAACAGGTCACACAAATCTTAGACTAAGGGTCAAAGTGGAAACATGTTTCTGAAAAACCAACGGTTTCTAAAAATCCTTCCAATGTGGATTCTCTAAGTTCAAATAAAACGTTGAGTATCTCTTTTGTAATCTATTTCCCTTCATGAAACATGTAGAGTTCATGAAGAGTGTGATTGAAGGTCATTTTAGATTTTCACCATTAGCCAAATAATGACACCAAATGTTATCACCTTTTCACAGAGTTGCATGTGGCCCATCCCAACCTTGTACAGATCTGCAGCCATTAGGAGCTGAGATCAGGAGTATCCATAATTAACTGATTGACAGATAATTGTAATTTGTGAACCACACAGAGAAACAGCCTAATAACTGGCGTCAGAATTCCAGCGGGGCTGTAGGGGATCGAATACTCGCTCTGAATCAAATATTACATTTCCAGTGTCTGTGGATGATATTCAATTTTTAATCATACTTTCATTAAAACTTTAACTTCAAAAATGAGTAAGAGATCAAATATTTGGTCAAGAAAAGCAGTCAGTCCTAAAAGGACCTGGTTGGCCTTAGATTGGTTCAATATTGTGCTCAACATGAACCAGCCTGTCCTTCCTAGTGAAAAGCCTGAGAAGATGTTTAATAGCATGAAAGACATTGGTCTGGGGGTAATCTTTCTAGAGTTTCTCCTCATTGTCGTGTGATAGCATTCTACAGAACAGCTAAGGATCCTGTTGTCTGTTGCTCAAAACCCACCAGGTTCTGGAGAGTCTCCTAGAGTTAATGAACCCCAAGGTCACAGAGGGACGACAGTCCCTTCAACCTCAACCTGAACAAAACATGACGCAGAAACAATTTCTTTGTCCAATGTTTCAATGACTCTTTCTGACACTTTGTCTTCAGCTTGTCATGGCAACATTCTTCCATTCAGCCTTTAACAACATTACAATTGTTGGACTGAGAATGGACTGGAAGTAAGAATAGATGTTCCCTTTGTTTCTTGAAGAAGCTCCAGTCTTTCAATATTTTCTCCACATTGTTGCATTTCCTCTGAATATTAAGTGGCAGGGTATTATTTTCTGACTCCAAAAACTTCCACAAGTTGACAAAGTAAATTCGGGACATCTCTGCAGACTGTTTCAAAGGTTGCTGCACATAATGAACAACACCGCACACCGTCTGCATGTGAAATAAACAGTGACTTTAATCACAGACTTCTTCAGCTCCCTGGAATATGAGCTGATGCAGGGAATCCATTCAAATAAGCTTACAGAGGATTGTTTTGTGTCACATCAGGGAGGCTGTTTCTAGACAAAATGTATGAAGTGATCACATTATCTTTGATCTTTTTATGTTTTTTACATTCTAATTTTACTTTTTGCAGCAATCAATTTATTTCCACCCATACAGCGCATATTTATTACAGCAAGTCTTCAATCATTTATATTATTTAACATCCCTGACGCCTCGTTTCTGTGACTGCCCAGATTGACGGCACTAAGTCACTGTGAGTTGAAAGAAAAGCGGTCAGGATGTTCAGGACAAACTCTGGGACCACCGAGACCGCGATCCGCTGGAACGCCAGCGACACCATCCACAGTAAAGACAGTTTAACTTCAAGAATCTGGAATTGCTCCATAAACACAAACCAACACTGCTAAAGTTGACCTGCTAATATTCAACCTATGTACATAAACCTAATCAGTTCTGAAAAGAAGAGAGATCAAATATGCAGCCAGAATTAAAACAGAAACTGGAAAAAATGTGTCACAAAGATCCAACTTAACTCCATTGCATCAAATGTGACATTCGTGATCGTTGATAAGCGCTGATCACAAGGCCCGTGTTTAAGCTACCTTTTTCTCAGAGGGCATGCTGCTGAAGGACACCGTCTTCTTCCTACCTCCGCCCACCTTCTGCACCGACGGGTCCTGGGGAGACACAAGGACACCAAGCAACACTCAGAATCAGATTTTCTTTTCTTAAACAGATCCAGAGCAACAAATCAAAAGAAAGGTTGAGAAGGGGAAAGAAAGGGGATCTTGTAGCAGCAGATTTCTCTCTGACTTTCAGAAAATATCAAAGTTTATATGAAAATGAATATGAATATGATCGGTTTTAATTTAAAACAGAAAATTGACTAGTACTCCTGCTGCTGCTGCTGACGCACTATATTTATTAATATAGATAAACCATGCATATTGTTAACCTGGGACTGAAATACTTTAATCTACAGGGACAAAGTGGAGGAAAATGTCATGTCCTGTCCTTGGTTTATTGGACTCCAGAACCAGAACCAGGCTTAACTCCAGGTAGAAAATCCAAAATAAACACACTATTTCTAAAGACATGAATGTGTTTGTACCGGAGAAACAACAGAGCCGGTGAAGATCTCAGTCATGATGACAGAAGAGAAGTTCTGCTGTCTGCAGAATACCTGAGAATCTCCAACTGTTGTCCACCAAGTAACGTCTGAGAGCAGGTTACATAAAGCAGCCTATTTATGCCACAGTTACCACAGCAGCCAGCTGTATATTAACACATCAGTCGGTGTTAGAGCAACACACAGATTAGATGTAGGCGGCGGTAACCCCCATCGTCACAGCAGATGTACAGGTGCTAGAAGCACAGGCTGATTTTTAATAGCTCCTTACATTAAAATACCCATGTGTGACGTTATTATGTAATATATCACACATTTGTTTCTTGTTCTTATAAAAACTCATTTCTGAAACATCCTGGTAGTATTCGCATATTCTGGATATTCTGAAGCTCTGTGAAGGTCAGAAAAATAAATAAAAAGAAAAAAGATCCAAAGTATCAGTAAAAGAACATAATAAATATGTCTCATTCCATGTGGTGGAAACATTCTGTAACATGACAGTTTGCATTGATTTAACTGTGGTGTTACAATTTAAAGTAAAACCTAAACATTTAATTTTTACTTTTTTAAATAAGGTGAGTAACCGGCGTTCTAATAGAAAAGTGTTGTATAAGCAGGACGTTTAAATTGCTCCTCTTTAACCCTCCAGTGCTCTCAGAAATGGGGTCATTTGGACCCAACAAGCTTTCTATTTTCAGTGTGGTCCAGCAGGATTGCACTGAGTTTTTTGTGTGTGGATGTGTGGTTTCAGGAACTGATGGTCTGACGGGACAATCCCCTCCATGCCAGAAAAAAATGTCATATTTTGCTGAAGCGAAACCATTTCTGAGATACAAATTAATATGATATATTTAATCTACAATTAACTGAAACTAGAGTTCAAGGCTGGTGTGAATGTGTGCTTAGGATGAAGCCAGAGAGACTGCTGTCAGCAGTAAGGAGGGAATCACTTGTGTTGTGGTGTATCGTATTATGGCAAAAAAAAAAATAATATTGGGATGTTAGGTTTTCCTCATATCCCTCAGTCCTAGCTAAAACCTGCTTGGAACAGAAAAATGTCAGCTTCCTCTGCTAGACCTTCCAAACCTCAACTCCCATCAGCAGGATGCAGAGGACGGACACAGAACTCTCGTCTGACAAACGTGTGAGATTACCAATCTCACACAGAAAGTGTGATAAACCCGAGGTTATTCTGTCTTGGAATTGAAAGTGGCCTGGTGTTTTGTTTCACAGCAGGTAAAGTTCAGGAGAAATCAGGCGCAGTGTGAACCTGTCAGCTCGCTGTGACAGTGAGCAATCCCCAGCGCTGACAGTAACCCCCGCTGAGGGAGCTGCTTCCTGTCTCTGGCTGCACAGATACAGAAAGACAGTCGAGAGAAAATGTTGACGAGAAGTAAAGACTGTGAGGTCTGCACAGGGTTCGCCTGCAAACGGGTCATCTCTGGTGCAGAATGAGCTGCTGGCAGGACGGGACCAGCTGCATTTCCACTGACCAAACAAAGAGGTAAATTCACACTTCAAAAATACATATGATGGTCTCCATGCAGTGGCAGGTGGGTGGGATGTAACTCTGACTTGTTCTGCTTGTTTGTGCTGAGCAAAGCTTCAATGTCACATAAGAATGAGTAGAATATTTTCCGAATGTTGGTTAAAGAATATGGAGCAAAATGTCAGGATGTATTGTAGGGGTTTCAGGTGAACGGTTGGGGTCTTTCTGCACGTTCTCCGTGCACTTGCTAAGGATCTCTCCAGGTACTCTAACTTCCTCCCACAGTCCAAAATCATGTGAAATGGTATATTGGTTAGTCTAAATTTCCCTTAGGTACACATGTGCGTTTGTGTCTCTGTGTTGCCGTGATGACCTGTCCAGCGTGTCTCCCACATCAAGTCCAATGACAAGCGGACTTGGACTATGGATGCAGTTTGAGTTTGTCTTTATTTCTTTTATTTTTCTTTTTGCAAGCGCTAAGGGATTTTGTTGGCTAACAGTTGTCAAGGTGGCTCTGTAAGCTGTACAGCAAAAACATGTGCCAGAACAATAAACATTTAATCAGCAGTCAAAATGACTTTTTATGTGAAAGGAGCGCGCGGCGTCTGTGGCGGCCTGCTGGTTTGCAGAAGGCTGATGTGAGAACCTCCTGCAGCTCACAGCTGATCTATTGAGCAGGGAAAATGAATTAAAGAACATTGGCTGTGCCAGGCGCTTCAATTTGACAACTTTACCTCCTACACAACAGCAACCCACATAAACACTCTGGTAATTAAATCGCAAAGCAGGGCGGAAACTGTCAAACATCCTGTGAACCGGCAGGAGCGCGTTCTGGACCGGCTTACATCGAGTTACAGTTAAAGTTTATTTTCATGCTGTAGGTGCTGCAGAAATGTGTTTAAAGCAATAGAAAACTGATGATAAAATAAGATCAAAGCATGTCAATGTGCTAGAGTGGCCTAGTCAAAGACCAGACCTAAATCCAGGGACACGGGATACAACAGGAGAGGCTGACATGCAACTCAGGAGTATTTAATTTTGGAAAATGTGAACTTCTGCCTCCTCTTGAGCAAAGACAGTTTCAATTCAGTCATCTCTATTTCACTTAGGAAAGTCAAACCAGAAAGTTCTGCCACCTCATGACATCAGTTACCAGCCTCCAACTCCAGTCCTCATAAGCTATTGCCCAATAGGAACTGGCACAATCACACAACTGGCTGGACAATAAATTATCCCATAGGTTATTGTGATAAAGTACATTCTTGTCATTTTGAGACCATTTTTGAGTAAAATAATGGTAATGGCATAATAATATCATTTTATCATAACGGCGATACATTTTGATTTTCAAATAAATGGAATTGATAACATTGTTCACTGAAACTGTCTGTAATGTCAGGACTGGTAGTTCTGCTGTTTCCTCCTCTGTGTTCAAAGAAAGTAACAATAAACACCAAGAAATTTGAAGATATAATTAGATCCAGTTTAGCAACACAAATCACACTTCTTCATGTGACTGGTGTCCTCAGGTTAACTAAAAATGACATCATAAATAGTTCTTATTGTCACGTTTATTATTGTCACTCAATATTGTGCAAACACTTTAAGTTCATTTCACTCCTATTTCCTTGAACTTCTCAATTAAGTATTACTTCCTATTGGTCAAACACTTTATATATATATATATATATATATATATATATATATATATATATATATATATTATATATATATATATATATATATATATTATATATATATATATATATAATATATATAATATATATATATATATATTAATATATATATATATATATATATAAAAATGATAAAACATCATATATATATATATATATATATATATATATACATATATATATATATATATATATATATATATATATATATATATATATATATATATATATATATATATACACGCACTTTTAGAAATTATGATTTTTTCCAACAATTTTTTCCACCAGAAGGAAACTTTCAACAACGACGCTCTGATTTTAAAGACTCTGCTAACGTTGTCCAGAGGAGCAGGACCATGTGCAGGACGAAGTGTTCACAGAGCCCAGAGGACGGAAAAAATGGACAGTGATTATGTTCAAGAAAAGAAGCAGGGAACGCAGAAAGGAACAGAAATGGTTGACGACAATCGTTGCCCCTCAGCTTTCACGGCACAAACAGCAGATTGATTTCCGATTCAATTACCCAGACGGCGGGGCAGAAGGCGGGCCAGCAGGGTCAGAGTTTGCTTGGTTTTCTTGATTGACGCAACTGTCCCACTAAATGTCTTTTATATTAAGTTGCTCAGTGATAAAGCCGGACAGATGAGCTTAGAGAAAGCAGGTCAGCGGGTATTTAGGTAGAGTCCGGCTCGGACATTTGGGAACACTGACGTTGTTGTGGCTGTCGCTGCTAATCCGTTGTTGGGCTATTATATTTAAGTATGTTTCTACGGACGCCCTGACGTCTTGCCGCTGGACGCAGGACGCCACCCAGGAAACTGCAGCAAATGTCAAGCCTTTGATGTGAACTTTGGTTTGGAGTTAAAAAAAAAAAAACAGGCTTCATTCAGCTATAATCCACAGCCTCCATTAGGCTTTTTCCCTTTCCCCCCACCCCTCTTCTCTCTGCTTGTGAATATTGCCAGAGGAAGAAAAACCTTGGCACAGATGGAGAGACAGAAAAGAAAATGAGACCAACAGCTGCAGGGAAGAGGAGAGACACAAGAGGGGCCAGACAGAACGAGACAGGAGAATGGATTCAATATGAAGGGTGGCTTCAAGTGGACAAACCAGCAAACCAAAGAGAGCAGTAGTTGGTCCTCAAAGCGTCTGACGAAATGAATGAGCGAATGAGAGACGAAGGAGTGGCGACCCAGGAAGCAAAGGATTTAAAACAATAGGTTATTGTCACGGGAAGACATGAACAACCGGAGAGGCTCTTCACCCGGCAAACTCTTCGAACGGATGATGGCTGGATGCAGGAAACCCAGGAGATAAACGGACTCCAGTTCAAAGGTTAAGTTCACTGCAGCAGCACATAAA